AGTCTGTACTGAGTACTGTAAAGCATGGATTCAGTGGTGTTTTTCCACTCTGACTGACAGGAACTTGGATATATCTCAGGCTCTATCTTTGCAGCCCACAGTTTTACTGGAGCTTCCTTTCTCTCCAAACTCACGACATTTTAAATCATCCTGCTGGGCTCTTGCTCTTGATTCTCAACATAAATCTGGCTAAAAGCCCCCAACAATAACCATGCCACTGCCCCAATATTAGACTGTCTTTAAATATCTTCTGCCAGATTAATTATTCCACCACCCTTAATCTCAGTCTCAGGCAAAGTCTCTGGACATGAGCAAAATGCAGACAAACTTTCTGCCAAAGCATAACACACATGTTCTGGAGTCCAACAGCCAATGCGGTCCTTCCTAGCAGAAGCCTCCTGAGCCTGGTCTTTATCAGGAGTATTTCTATCAGCCTTCTGGTTGTCTGAGCTCTGACCAGAATCTCCCATCAAGTATGTCCTCAGGAGTTCCAGCTCTGCTTTTTCTGCCAGCACCACCAAACCTTTCCTGTTTCCTTTTCCACAAGCCAGCTCCCACGGCTCCTAAACCACATGGTCAGGTATAGTCATAGCAGTGACCCCACTAGCAGTACCAAATTCTGTCTTAGTTATTTTTTCTCATTGCTGAGACAAAATACCCAACATCTCAAGTTAAAGGTGGAAGCGTTTACTTAGTGCACAGTTTGCAGAGCTTTCAGTTTGAAGTGGCCGGCTCTTAGGCAGGGCGGCTTGGCAGAGGAGCATCACAGAGAGTAGTTCATGCCACCCACAAGGTAGCAACAACAACAAGGGACCTTAACAGTGTCTTTCTGCCCCTTTCGTTTTACTCAGACTACTTCAGGTAGGCAGCACTCACACCTTTAACCTCAGTGTCCTTGAGTCTACACCCGCATCAATCCCAGTGTCACGCACTCTGGATCCAGCCACCTCTGAGAAAGCCCCTCCTATGACTGCATGAAGCTTTGAGGGACATCGAGACACAAGCCACGACACAAGCCTTGAACGAAGATGGGAGATGGGTGTGATAGAAATAATGCAATGATTGGTTCTGACACAACCATAAAGTTTTTTTAAAGCCAGGGTGAGCTTAGAAAACATGTAATCCAGGTCTTGCCAAAGGTTTATTCAGGGCAGGGTGCTCCTCGGGGTGCTAGGATAGACAGTGAACAAAACAGACCAAAGTCTTTCCCTCCGAGGAGCAGGAGTGAGGACAGGAAGCCCTTTCCCAGGTCACATTGTCCAACGGCCGCTTCCAACAAGAGACTGCACTGGACACCTGTTTTCATCTTATTCCTTAGCACCTTGGAGAATGAAATTCTCACCTACATAAAACCAACCCGATTTCATAATCATCTCAGTCTAGTCCGCCTGGGCTGCACCAAACCTTCCAGCTCTCTTTGTCCTTCCCGGTGGGGCCACTTCTCAGTCTTCCCAGCTTTTGCTGTGTATGTGGCGGGGGGAGTCTCATTGTACAAGAAAGTGCTTCAACTGCATAACTTACAGCTTTCTAGGATGCAATCAGCCTCTCGAGCTTGTAGACAAGGTTTGGGGCTGCTTCCTTCATGCAGTTTTATGAACACGTTCTTGCCTGATTTTCGTCTCGTTGGTGCCGCTTCTCTGAGTGCCTGTGTTCATTATCTGGATCAGTTTCTGCATCCCCGCTCTGTCTCCTTTCAGACCTGGAAACTCTTACCGGCCAAATCCTTCTGCTCCAAGGAAAAGCAGCCCAACTCTGGCATTCCAGTCTTCAGAGGCGACTCTCTTCCTGACAGCATCAATGTTTTCCACAGGCACAGCCACCCCCAGAGCAGCAGAAAGGGTAGGATGGAAGAAATCATCAGAAATGAGTTTGGCACGGAGTTGACTCTCTCCTTTCTTACTTTAGATCAGTGGAATTAGCGAAAAGTGCTATGAACTCATGGAATTTTCAGTCTTTGGAATTCCCAGATGTCTTCAAGTTGTCTTTGAAGAATGCTTATTTTACAGTGTGTGTTTTTCTTTAGAAAAGGAGAAAAACAGAGCGGGTCTTGTTAGAGGGATAGCTGAGATTTGAGGATAACTCCCTTTTATTAAGGGCTTGCTATGCTTTATCACTTTGACCTTCAAAACAACCTGGTGATAAATGAGCTGCAAGTGGCCTCATGTTACACACAAGCACGTAGAGTCCCAGAGAGGCCCTGAGTTTCCCTATCATCCGTCAGTGTGTGGCTGAGTCGACAGCCAGTTCCACTTGAAACAATAAAATCCTTCTGTGATTTAGTTCATCAGCATTAGTGTTGGGGTGAAATTGTGAATGGAAATATAAACAGTAAGTGTAGGATTTTCCTTGTGCGTTCATTTAACAGCTAACTGAGTTGAGGCAGAATCTGTAGAATTTGCTTCAAGATCACTAAGTGGTCATCCGAATAATAATTGAATTTCATTCCAAGCTTATATCTACCACAGCTTTTTTCTTCCAAGAGAAACTGGTCACCCTTGGATTTGATAGAATCACTTGGTTAAAACTTAGAGTTTCAGCAGTTATAATACAGAGGATCTTAAGGGTAGAGTTCTAACAGTGGTAATATAAAAAATATTTAATCCCACTAAACTCAACAAATATTTATTTAATATTGTCTGTTACCGGTTGTATTATGTCTTTTCACTATCTGGATGTCATGAATAAACTATTCCTCTGTGGGAACAAAATAAAGATAAAACTCCCTTTTCAGAGCTAAAGGCGTCACATCACAATGGTCCAGGCACACCTGTGTTTAGAGCAGCACAGTTCACAATAACTAAATCTTGGAAGCAGCCTGAATGTTCATCAACAGACAAATAAATAAAGAAAATGTGGCATCTGTACATAATGGAATACTACTCGGCTATTAAAAGGGATTTGTAGAAAATGAATATACCTTGAAAACACAATGTGAGGTGAATTAAATCAGACACACAAGCTTAAATACCATATGGGTTCTTTCATTGGAGTCATTCAAAATGCAAAGAAAGAACAAAATGAAAGGCTGATGAGGGAAACAGAGAGATAGATCTTCTGTGAGTGGGAAGAGAATCAAGAGACTGAAGTGGAGAGGAAGGAGAAGGAGATGTGAAAGGGTTTCAGAAGCATCCTGTGTGTGTACTATCTATTCACAGTGAATTTAACTAATCGTTATATGTCACGAACATGGACTAAAAAATAACAACAGTAATAAAGATGAGGAGGGGTCTAGAGATGGAAGGAGGGTGGTAGGTGGGAAAGGGAAGGGGAAGGAAAAGAACCAAGATGTGCTAAGTACATGTACCTGCTCCCTAAGGTGCATGTAAACACCATGTGCTCCAAGCACATACTAAACAATTATTACATTTTCCTTTTCAAAGTCACATGAACTATTTCACCCAGAAGGAGTTCAGCAAGACGGCAGGTGAGAACGCAGCAGGAGAGGTCTGCTTCATCCCAAGACCCTGACAGAAAACGCCACTGGGAAGAGAAGAAAGCACTATGGGAGCCCCAGGGCTCCTGGAGATGATTTGCTTCAGGCCCCATCGCTGTAAATGTGATTACTGCCCTTTCTCAGGAGTCCATGCTGAAGGGAGGGTGGAGCACGCTCCGGGGACAGGGTCAGGTAATCCAAGTAACTGATTTCCAACGTCCCCTCCACTCAACCTCTTTCCCAGAGTCGCCAGCAAGTAAAGGAAATCACTAGTTCCAGCTTCCTTCCTCTCCTCCCCGCACTCACTGCCCCAGCCCATCACCCTCGGATGGAGAGGTCAGCGAGCAGCGAAACAGCCAAAGCGTCATGGGAGGAAGAAGAAAGCGGGAAGGCCGATCAGTGCTTATGCCAATTAAATCTGTTTGTGTGTGATGCTTCTGAAACAGTCTGCCCCTGGCCGGGTATTACTGAGACCCACACTGTGATAACACACACCCGTAAGACAGGCACACCTCAAACACGATTTTATGAGACTTCTACCTATGAGTGAAATAGCAATTCAGTTTTTGTTTTAAAATATTACAGACACTGTTCAAGTTTTCTTCAACTTCGTACCTGCTTACTCTCCTTCGAAGAAGCCCACCACCCTGGCACCTGTTTATAATATAAAATGTCCGGGTTTTGTGCAGGCTGTTTCTGTGTAATTATGTGGGAATGTAGCCTGAGGAAGTACGTTGTTTTGTGTCTCTAGTGAATCGCAGGTGATCTGTGTCATCTGGCTGGGTATAAGCACTGAGGCACTGCACAACTCTCCAGAAGGAAGGACTCATTGCCATCGCTGGGAGGCTGTCAGCAGCGTCAGCAGCCGTGGCCCCTTCAGGGGCTTCCTGAGCTACCCTGAGCCACCTCGCCTCAACCTAATCCCTTCTGGAGGCAGGTGTATCCAGCAACTGACTGCTTGCATCTGACACTGGTGCACTGGCTCCTAGGCAGTCCCTTGCCAGGCTATTGATGTCTTGCCACATTGGCCAGAGCTGGGACAACTGCACACCACCCTTCCTACCTCTACAACCCCCTCTTGGGAGCTGAGATCCAAATGGGCCTGCTCACAGATGAGCTGCTCCCACTGCTCAGTCCTGTGTCCTCAGACATCAGTCCCAGGCATGTTCCTAGTCATCACCCCAAACATTCAGCCCCATGGCCTGGCCCGCTTCCCAAGAGCCTGTCCTCTGACAGGGCCCTCCTTCCTTTTTCACCCAGGGGCTCGTCTTGGAAGGCTCACTTAAGAAACAGGTTTGCTTCATTCTTTTAATATTGTACATTGGTTTTACACTTTTTTAATTTTAAAAAGACAAAAATCACAATAAAGCAGAGTTTCAAAACAAGTTTTAAAAAGCAAGTTAGTGAGAGTTACAATAATTAATACACTGCGTTATTGTTGTCTTATAGTAGCTACCCAAAGTACAAGATACAGGCATGGTATCTTGTCCTGTTGTATTACTCGAGTTAGAGCTGGGCGGTTGTTCATCAAAGCTCTGGTCTCTTTCCTCTCTGGGTCTTTATGTAGATGGCATCCTGAGCTGTATGCTGGGTTACCAAGTGACAGTGAATGTACTGTGCTCAGAAGCGAAGCGAGGCTCCTCCTGGCCTCTCTGCTACAAACCTCACGAAGACCCCGTGGCGTCCTCAGGCCTGGTGCTCCAGCTGCTGCATCGGACCGGCAGGAGGGTGCAAGGTCCTAGGAGGACAGTGGAGGTACAGATGGAAGAAGGCTGGATTACTGAATCACCATGCCAAATTCTGAACCTGCTGAAGTATTCAAGAGTTCCTCTTATAGGAATTTGCCTTTCCTTCAAAGCGAAAGAACACCTTTCCCACTTCCCCAGTATTACGTACCAGACTCTGCGCGTCTCTGTGGGCAGCCAGTGTCTCCCTCAGGCAGAGGGAGTTGCTAGCATTAGAGATGCACCAGTTCTAAAGATCAGTAAGATCTTTGTGCTGGTTTCTAACATGGTTGTCCCAGTTTGTATTTCTTTCTGGAGCGGAAGGGCTCTTTCTCATATTTTTAATCTGTGCCAGATGCCACGTGCTATGCTAAGCATTTTATCTGCATGAACGTATAAAGCCTCTGATGTGTGAGTTGCTGTTAAACAGCTCTGCCTTTTGGATGGGAAAACTGAGGTTGGGGAAGTATAATTTCTACATAAAAGAGCTAAGATTTAAACTTGAGGCTCATGGCCAGATCTCTTTTCTCTTACACTATAATTGCTTAGCTACAGCTCTTGAGCAAAGTAAAAGGGTGTCCGGTAAACACTAATTAAACTTCACTATGCCGCACTGCATATGGGGACGAACCTGGCCATGAGGCGATGTCTTCTGTGAATGTTCAGGGTTCATTTTTATGGTTAAAACAGTATCCAGGAGGGTTAAGGCTCTTATCTTAGCTCTGAAAAACATGTATAAAAGATCCGTAAATCACTTAAAATTTTTTCATAAAACAGTAAATAAAAAAGAAACACAATAAAATCTGCATTCTGGGTGGCTGCTTTCAAAGCAGCTGCAATCACTTGGCTGAGGCCTGCTCATGTCCCTCCCTGAACTTCCTCCCCACGCTGAGCACAGAGCAGCGGAGGTCTGTGTGGGTCTGGGACAAGATGGAATCTGGCCCAGCTGTTCTCAGAGGTTACACGGGAAGCTCACAGGCTGAAAGGAGCTGCCTTGCGAGTGCCTTCCAAAGGCAGAGCTGCCCTGCTTCCTCCCGTGTCTGCACCCTCCCAGCAGTGGTTGGGGCAGCGGTAGCACAGATCTTCACAGTGCACACAGACTGTTAGGCATTAGGCCCTAGAGATGTGGCACTAGGCTGTGTTTCACTTCCGGAATTGCTGCCATTTCTGTGGTTTTTGAGGTTGTGGTAGAATTCTGAGCTCTCTAGGTTCAAGTTCATGCAGCCTTCACAAAATACGATTTCCTGTGTCAGTGAAAGAAGGTTTTGATTCTTTAAAAAATTGAGGGCAATTAAGTGAAATAGTTTCCACCCACTATAAGCGAAGTGAGTTTAGCTTTCTCTTAATACACACAAGGATCGGAACGTCAGGAGTGAAACAAGCAAAGAACTGACGGGGGTTTCCTCAGCTTTCACACAATGGAAACCTGTGAGTTCCCAAACATGCTAGGAAGGCACAAGGGCAGTGCAGAAAAGACGAAACTGGAAACGTAAGTATATGATTGTTGGGCAGAAGATTGAAATGCGGACTCTTTTCAGGCAACTGTGTCGTGCTCAGCCGTCATCCTCTTTCTATGCCACACACCCTCATTCATTTAGCCAGTATCAGCTGGGCTTACTACGTGTCAGAAGGAGCAGGGTGCTGTCTCCAAGGTGGGGTGGGAGGGGAGTGACGAGTACGAGTGAGCAACGCATAAGCAAGAGCGGCAACAGCAGTGGCCGTGAAGACAGTAAGTGAAGGCCAAGAAGGAAGAGGAGACGATGTAGACCAAGCGCTCAAGGGAGAGAGCACGAAGGGCACAGAGCAAAGAAACAGAGGGAGAAGGAGCTGCACGTGCAGCTTCTCAGACCGAAGCACTGCCGATGTGGAGACCGCTGCCTGGGCCCCTGGCAGAGCACATGGGGCCGGGCTCAGGCAGCTGCCCAGTGGGAGGCAGGACAGAGGGTCCCAGACAGAGGGACGTCCCCAGGGACTTTGCAGCGGCGAGGTGGCCTGGCCCAATTCACTCTCGGGAGAGCTGCCCTAGCTGCAGTGCTCGTGTCCTGTTTAAAGGGCTGGGAAAGGGGAGGGTAGAAGCCAGGGATGCGGAGTAGCTGCAGTGCAGGAGGGTAAAGTAACAGAAGAGAGGTATGTGTTCAGGGGGTGTTTTCTGTTCCTTTGCTGTTGGCTGAACTCTCACGGACCCCTGTCAAAGCTGATCATGAATGTGGAATGTGTGACTCTGATTATAAAACCCGGGTTCCATTAAGCATTCTTGGAAATACCAGGCAGGCAAACTGGAATGCCATTACCGTCATTTTAAGCTCAGTGCAACGTTCAAGGCCAGGACACCCCAAAGTGTCTGTATCTGTGAGTACAGCGAAGTGCAAACGCTGCGCCGCTGTGCCGTCTGTGTGCTGGGCGTGACGCGCACTGTCGGAGGCTGCCTGGAGCGTGTGTGCGTGCGGGGCACACTTGCCCTTCGCCTGCTCCCCAGTCCTCAGCAGGAACTGGAACGGGGACAGGAATAACAGCAAGTGAAACTCTGGTTTTTTGGTGCTTACGCACATGAAATATTGAAATGAAAGTAATATTTGGTACCTGTTTTCCAGTGACAGCACTTGGGAACCACTACGGACTGGTAAACTTAAAGCTCCTGTGGGGATTTTTGACCGGCTTTAACCTGTTCCCCTGTTTGTGGATATTTTCCATCACAGACAGACTTTTTAAGAGCTTGATTTGACTTTACTACTTCGTTGTGCACCAAGGATGTGTGTGGAATTTCTTATTCCTGAACTACATGCTTTGGAGAAAGTCCTATGTAGTAAAGTACAGGAGATTTGCCAGGCGCAGTGAACATCCATTTGCTCTCCGTGTGCCGAGTGACAGTACTTCTCTTAACAGTCACAGTGCCATGTTCTTATGGGCAAATAACATCTTCAGTGGAAAGTAGTTTTCTTTCCCTTGATCTCTGCTTTGAGTCTTTCTTTCACTGATATGAAAAGACATTTATTGAGCATCTATTTTGAGCCAAACATTGTATAGATAGAATCCTCAGTGTGAAGCTAAAGGAAGCAGATGAGGGAGGAGAAAAGATAGCAGAGAGAACTTAGGACAGAGGGGTACAAATAACCAGGAAAGGGAATCTTAAATCCCTCCTGCTCACTTCTCAGCCTGCCACCTCCCGTCTCCCTGGCTTTGGGTGAATCAATCTACGTCTTTGTGCTCCCTCTAAATTGAAAGGCTTAATTAAACTTCAGAGTTCTCAGTGGCCTGTCAGGGAAAGGGTAATGGAAGTGCCAGGGATGACACACATTTTATATTTCACGTATCTCAGAGGATTTCGGAATCTTATTTAATAGGTAGCAATAGCAAATTACTTTGATAAAGTTCTCTTCAGACTTTGAGAACTTGGTGAAATTCTCTGTACCCAAAGGAAAAAGAAAAAAAGAAATTCCTGTTCTGCAGGTTTATTTGCTCTGAACATTCACTGTGTCGTATAGAAAGCAAAAGTCCTAGAATTTGGGAGCTTTAGAGACTGTGCGTGCGTGCGTGTGTGTGTGTGTGTGTGTGTGTGTGATGTTGTTATGCATAGGCAATGTTAGACATTCATCTTTTCTTTTAATACCAAAATTATAGATAAAACATAATAGATAAAAAAGCCCAACCTTATTTGGCTTCACTTTTGTTCATTTCTGGGTCCTTGTGCTGACATAATCACAAAAGCTAATTTAGTTGAGGATGTTAATTCCCTAGAAGCCTCAGCAGCCGGAGCGTAATGCCTTGCCACTCTAGGGAGCCCTTGGTTCAGTTTCTCAGATTTGTGAAGAAAGATATGAAAATATCCCCACTCAATAAAATAGAAGCAACATTGAAAATCTAATAGGTAGCAATTTAATAGGTAGCAGGGGTCCTCAGTCAGGGGCAATTTTGACTCCCAGAGAACCAATGGAATGTCAAGAGACTTTGATTGTCATGGCAGGAGGGGCAGGTAGGAAGCAGACAGGTGCGAGCTTAGTGACAACCAAAAGGCATAGGATAGTCTCTTACAGCAAAATTGTTAGCGACAGTGCTTGCTGTGGCTTGGACACATGTCCCCAAGGGTCCACAGGTTCTAGGCAGGTCCCTGTCTATGATGCTACTGGGGTGTGGTGGAGCCATGAAGAGGTGGAGCCCAGAGGGAGGAAATTAGGTGGCTGGTGGAGTGTGCACCTGAGGGCACAGCGGGGCCTACGCCCCTTCCTCGCTCTTCCTTCCTAGCTCTGCCACACCTGCCTACCACACTGTGCTACCTTCCCAGAGGCCCATAGCAACACAGCCAGCTGAGCATAGGTGGAAGCTTCCCAGACGGAGCAGGGTAGAGCTCTCCTCTTTCCAAATTGATGTTCACAGGTGTTTTGTGACACTAAGGGGATGCTAACTCATTACTAAGTTTCCGAAAACAGGTCTATGTCTCTTCTGCAACCCACAGCAAACATGCCACCTTCCTGCATTTGTAAACGTCCTGAAAGAAAAAGCTCACCTTTTCATTTAATGTAGGGTTTAATAGGGTGCACCAACAGCTTTCTGATGAAAACTGCTTTTAGGTTTGCCTTATTAAAGGTCAAACATGTCCAGTTACAATAAAAAAACAGTATTTTTTTGCCTATATATTTTCTAGTGTGCAAAACAGATTCACATCTATTTCCATACTTGAACATGGCTTTAATCCTATTATAGGTATCTGCAATCAAGATCACTTGATAGAAAGAAATCATTTTTTATATACTGCATCCCTTGAAATGGACTTTCACCTTACTGTAACACCTTAGTGATGGAGAAGTCATCCACAAGCCCGCCTATGTCAGGTGTTTCAAGAAGGGGATATTCAGTGTAGGCTTCTCATGCCTCTCTCCCTGGGCTTACATGAATTTACCCAGGAGGAAACAGAATGTGTGGGACTGCCTCACGGGTGGGAAATTATAGGCTGTGTCACACTGTGCCATGGATCCTGATCCAGAGACAACAGTCTAGACGTCTGTGCAGAATGCGAGACAGTTTGTGCCTCATCCAGGACACTGGCATGAGCACATTGCGTTTGAGCTCAGGCTTCCACAGGAAGCAGAGTTGGGCTGAGATGCTCCTTGGCTGACTGCTAGTTGTCAAAAACTAGAGAAGTTGCATCCTGATGCTTGGTTGCTTCATCTGCTCCCTGGAGGTGGCCTTCTTGGGGAAGTGGTGAGGATCAAAGATGCGATGTGACCCGCTGAGCTCAGTGTCAAGGAGGATGTCAGCAAAGCTTTGTCAAAGGGACTGTGAAATTGGGGTGGTGGCCATCCTGCTGGTGTGATCTCTGTCTGTTATACTTCACTGGTGCCTGTGAATGTTCACTAAGCCCTGTGTGCTATGCCGCTCTGTCCTAAGTCAGACGCTGGCTGTGTTTTGCAAACATCCTATCAATGAGCCCAAAGCCTCCCGCTATTTAAGAGCCTTCAAAGGCTCTAACTTCTCCTAAAGGAGCCCTTTGCTTTGCCTCTTTTAAACAGTGGGCTCCCTGGGGTTTTCTTAACATCCACTACTTGTGCCTTATGCTAACCTCCAAGAAGATAGCATACACCCACATTCACGGCACATCATGCATGGTAGCTGAAAAGGGGAAACAACCAAATGTCCATCCACAGGCCGTTAAATAAACAAAATATGCAATATTCACTCAAGAAAATGCTACTCAGCCATACAAAGCCCTGAAACACCTTGACACATGCTGTAAAAAAGGTGAATCTTGGAAACGGGATGTCAAGTGAAATGAACCATATACCAAGGGGCAAAGAGTAGATGATTCCACATATACAAGGTCCTAGAATGGGCAAATTCACCGAGTCAGGAAGCCGTTACCCACAGTGGGGTGAAGGGGAGCTGAGAGTCACCCCTAAGTGAGACAGGGCAAAGGTGGGAGTGGGGTGGTAGTAATGGTGCACGGCAGTGCAAATGTCCTGCTGTACTCAACTTTGCCCTTAGTAAGCGCCAAATGGTAAATCATATGCTACGGATATTTTACTGCAGTAAAAATTTTAAAGTAAACACAGTATAATAACAAAACCATTTAAAATCATACTCATGCTGAAAAACAGCTTTATTCGTTGAATATTTTGTACCTGTCAAGCACCAGGCTAATCATTTTATATAGCATAACTAATTGAAGCCGTACATTGATCAATTTAGGCAACCCAAGTTTACAAAGCTAAGAAGTAGCAGAACCAAGGTTAAAACCCGAGTATCCAGTTCCAAATTCCTACGCGCTCTGCTTGCCCCCTCACCTGGTCCCCGTGTGTTAGCAAGCATCATACTCTGGATCTCTAGCCCACACCTCAGGGGAATGCTGACAATGGTGTTACTGATGCTCCACCAACAGTGTTTTGGGTCTCTCAAAAAATTATGAGCTCCTATTATCTCAATTTAAAGACAAGAAAGCTAAAGCACCAGGAGGCTGAATAACTTGTTCAGGGTCACCCATTCACAGCAGGGTCAAGATTTAAACCTGGGTTAAATATAATCGCCTCTTTGAATAGCCCCCAAGCACACATTTCCAAAATAAACTTTGAAAATAAATTTTAAAATGTCTGAAATGAAGGTACATTTTCCATACAGTATCCTCCCCAATATCAACTTGACACATGTCATCTGTAAAACTTAGGAAACATAGATAGAGGCTATCTCACTTGCTCTAGGGCTTAGAACATAGCAGGGGGTGCTCAGTATAAGTTTGCAGTATATGATCTGCCCCACAATGACAAAATCAGCCCGTTAGTCCAGATTGAAGTGAAAGAATCAGGAGCCTAGCTGAGAAGCTCCAACTGTGCGCAGGAAAGAGTCTTCCAGCAGCCCTTAAAAATCTGTGGCTATCCCGAGACAGATTTAGAGGATTTGCCTCTGACATCTTTTTGTTTTGTTTTGTTTTGTTTTGTTTTGGTATTTTTCTGGTACCGGGAATTGAACTCATGACCTTGCGCTTGCCAGGCAGGCACTGTGCCGCTGAGCTAAACCGCCAGCCCCAGGATTTGCCTCTGTAAGTTTAGAAAGTTTAAACCCCTGTGTGCATCTTGGCCGCCCCTACTGTGGTGCCATAGTCTATGGCTTGAACTGCTTTCTCTTCACAGGCCATCTGCCCCATTGCTGAATTCTGAGCCCCTGCATGAACCCGGGTCTTTTCCCAGGCCTTGGCGTCCTGTGTCAAGTCACACTGTCTTCTCTGTAGGTTTTGTAATTACCCTTAGAGACTGCAGAAATGAGACCGGACAACTTGGAGCCAAAATACAATTTTCAGGACTCAAATCCTTGAGTCCCTTTGAGATCCTAAGAGATGTTCTGGAAGGCAGACTCCACCAACGAGTCCAACTGGCTTTGTTCTGTGAAGGAGCTCTTAACGACCTTCAATCGTTAGGCACCATGAGGAAGGGCCGGTCTTCCTGCTGTAAAACTGGCTTTTGTAAAAGCAGGGATCCTGGATATCATGAGTAGAATTTAATGACCCGAATGCAGCTTTTAAACAAAGGAAATAATGGTGCAGAGCTTCGGCCATAGCCCCACTCTCAGGGTACCCAGGTACCCAAGATCTAGATATGGAAAAGTCTACCTGTAATAATGATTAGGCATTACCATGACAACTGCACTGTTTCAAAACTACTGGCAGCAAAGACATTCACTTCCCAAGGAAAAATTTTTTGAGAAAATGTAACTTCACAAGGCATAGTAAAAATTTAGATGGTTCCCTGAAAATATCCTAACATTTTCCCAGTTTGTAATGTAAATTCCAGTTGCAGTTGAAATTTCAATGTAATAGAGTCACGAGAAGTTTCAAGGCTGACCTGACCTGTCTTATAGAGAAGAGAATGAGCCTGAACCTGCAGAGGGCCCTGAATTATTCTAATCATCAAATATTCATGCTATAAAAGCTCTGCAAAATGTTGTTTCCTAAACAAATGTCAAGAGTCTAGCTGGCATTCAGCAAATGATCCCAAGATGAGTGCAAATAGTGTCTCTTTAATTAAAAACAAGAAAAACTGATAACTAACTAAATGTCATGATGCCACAGGAACATGTAGGAACAGAGGTGCCATGGAAGCTCGTCAGGGAACAGGAGATTCCGTGCTGATTCTGAGGAGGTGAACACATGGAGAGCCAGGAGCAACCTCGCCATTTCTGCAGAGCTCGGTTCAAACTGGACCAAATGGTGAATCAGCAGCAAAAACGCAGAAGGGAAGAAAGCCACAGTCAGTGTAAGCATGAACCTGATGGAGTATGACTCTACCACAAAGAAGGAGAAAGCTGAGACACTTTTAGGTAAATGGACGCACCTTGAGACCATAATCTAAATAAATAAAACACACAAGTATAATTATTGCATTGTTTCCCTTGTGTCAGAAACCCAAATACAAACAGTGAGCAAAATAGAGCTTTTAGGAAATGGGAAGAACTTGTTTATGAATTTGATTTTTTTTCTCTTCCAGTACCAGGAATCAAACTCATGACCTCGCACTTGCCGGGCAGGCACTTTGCCGCTGAGCTAAACCCCCAGACCCCGGAAGAACTTGTTTAAATTGGAAGGGAAACAACATATGGAAGATGTGAGGGAGGGAAGGAAAGGAAGAGGGTTTTAAAGGGAAAAAGAATCAAAACAATGGAAATAGAGCTTTTGTAAATGGTGAGGCAGGAAAGAGGGGTTGGAGGAAGGGGAGGGGAAGCAGAGTTATAGAAAAAAAGAATTACGATGTGTTGTGTACACGTGTAAATCTCCCACACAATGAATGAATGCATTCATTATGTACTGCAAACAGGTGCTAATGTAAAAAGAAGAGTCACCAGGACAGGGTGATCGCCCTGTCTGCTGGAGTTTGCTTATCAGTTTACCGGACACCATGTCGCTGGATGAAGACACAAGGGGCACCAACAAAACATACAAAGTCTCAGCACTGAATTCGTGTCCGAGGAAACCGGAGATGTTACTGATCTGTCTTTGCTTTTTGTGCGGCTGGCGTTGCAACAATTTTACATGAGCACTGGGGAGGAAGCAGCTGTGAGCTTCCCCGTGATCTGCAGGGATGAACACGGCACTGCCCACTGGGTCTCCACCACCACCAGGAGCGGGGAAGGCGCAAACTCCGCACAGCTTCAGACACAGGCCTGCCTCCCACAGGCCCTTCTCTGGACCCGTGCAGACCGGACACCTTCTGTCCACCTGAAGACAAGGCTGGCTGCGAATCCCCGCTCCGTGCACGTTGTCAGATTCCACATCGTTGCTTCCTGGGGTATTTCAACCCGGGTTGAAAACACACATCCCACTTCCAGGCATCTGCTTCACGTTTCCTGGACGGCCCGGTAATGTGTTTGTTTAACTCACTGCGGGTTAGGCTATAGATTTTGCAGTGGCCTACCAACACAGGCCCCCGGCTGTTTGTTTTTTTAAGTTTTTGTCTTATCTCATTTCCTCTGAAAAGCCCCACTTTTCACAGCGTAGCTGAAGCCTGAATAAGCTGTTCTCTGAGTCCCGTCTACACGTCTCACCAAAGTATGAGGCTAAAGTATTTGCAGTTGAAAATCATAAACCAGCCTGCACTGCAGCATTTCGTCAAGTGGCCGAAGAGCGAGCAGGCGTGTGGGAAGAGCACAGCAAACCGCACGGAGCCGGCCGTCCGTCTTCTTGCCCTCTCGTCGGTGCGCGAAGCGAAGCGGGGTGAAGGGCAGTGAATCGCAGTACGCAGGTAGCACCCGGGAACTAGTTAAAATGCACATTCTCAGACCACATCCTCAGGATTCAAACTCAGGACAGCGGGGCCAGGCCTGGGACTCGGACTTTCTACCAAACCATGCACCCCGCCTCCCCCATTTTGATGAAATGGTTTGTGGACTGGGGTGTGAATAAGCTCCAGTGGAGTGGTGACATTCTGGCATTCGGAAGGCTCAGGTCTGGCTTCAAGTCCTGGCTTAGCTGGTGCCTGGCTGGGAGACCTTCCAAACCCGTTTCCTTCAAATGTGGACAAACTAAAAGTTTTGTGAGACTTTAGTGGAATGTTCAATAAAGAGCAGCTCTTATTTTTAAATTATTGTCTTCAGTGATCTTAGTCTATGTAAAACTAAAGACAAAACCTAGCCCAAAGTGTGAAAGGCAAAGCACACACTGGCCCTGTTATTTCTGATGGTCTACACTGCAGCACACGCATCTCCTTAGCCCAGAACCCTGGCAGCATCCTTCGGGAGGGGTCTGCAGCCCGGAGAGGCTGCCCCCTCTGATCCTGGGTCAGACCCGTAGCAGCAGTTACTTCCTCTGCTGCGCTCCTCACACGGTGTTGCTAATACAGCTGTGCTGCGTGCCTCTCTGCCCGCGATGGTAGAGACCTCGTTGCCTGTACTGTGCATAACGTCATTTCCAAGGTTCATAGCACGAGCCTGGTTCGTACCTTTTGTAGAAGTAACAGTTGACTGTATAAGGGAGATTTTTAAAAATTCCTTACTGCTGCTCAGTTTGGGATGGGAAGTCTTGGGGTGGTACTAACTAGCTTGTTGTAGCTGATCCATGCCGATGGGCCACTTGGATGACTTGCCAGGCAAATCTCTACCATGGGCTTGGTGGCTCCTAAGTTTTCTTCCAGCCACCCAAATAGTTTTTTGGAACACCTTAGGGGCTAATTCTTAACAAATCATAACAAAGAGCTCTAGTTTGACAGTTGAAGAAGTTAGACAGATTGCACAAGTACACACCAGACGATAACATTAATTGTAATTGTGTCTCAGGAAAACAGCTGGAGGTACTATTTAAATGATGTACTGCTACATTCCATGGGGCCTCCAGACAGTGAAAGGGAGAATTAACGGGATAGCAACGAAATGATTTTATTTACTAACTTCATCCCAGAGGGGCTGCATTTAATTTTGTCCTTCTTCATATGGAGAGCTTTTAGCTTCACATTAGTATCCCTACAAAGTGAAGGTGATGCACAGGCTAAATAGATTAAGCATTATACCAGACCGATCTTAAAATTTGGAGAAACAGCAAAAATCACACATTATTTCAAGTCTGGAAGAGCTGAGCTGATGCTTTTTTTCTCCATTGTCTTCCATTTTCTGGTCCAGCCCAAAATAGAAAGCAGCTTTAAATCCTTCTAAACATGTTTCTTAGGGGAAAAGATACCTTCCAAGGGGAAGTCGGGGCAGAAACTAAACGCACAGCTCTGTTTCTCTTGGCACGTAGACCGAATCTGAGTTTTGCTCGGAGGGCTGGAATTCACATTACTGCAATGTGCAAGGCTGCCTGGAAGCTGAGACACAGCGGAGAGGGCTGCATGATTCCTCACCCTATGTCTTTAATCACTTTTGTTCTTACGACAACTTCATCTGTAGGAAAACCCCTCTGACTGGACATTAATATTCCACCGTTTACAAAGAGAACCAGTATTCCACAAAGAACCCCAGTTACATGCAGCAGTAGGTAAATCTATGTGTAAGTTATGTTTTATCCTTTATTTTGCAGTCACGGGGATGCCGTTTTTAAGGCATTCTACACATTCCTCTGTTTATTTCTTCGAGCCCATTTATCTTTTCTTCCTGGTAAGAAAACACACTGAAAATGAAGACAAAGTGTATTCCCCAGCCAAGCGCTAACAGCTCTGGCTCCTGCATCGGTGGGGTGGGGGGAGGGGCATTTTGCAAGGGCCTGGGGCTCAACCACGCGATGAAAGCTTTAGCAGGCTTATCATTTGCCATAAGTACAGGGAAAAAGCAGTGCAGAGGCCACAGTGCCACCAGACAGGAAGGGTGAAGCCAGCACGTGGAGACAGAGCCACCCTAGCCCACACAGCTGAGCAAGCGCACGCGAGGGGGCCTCCTGTCCTCTCCGCAGGGGGCACAGCCCCACCACGCCGCTGCACTCTGCGTCTGACCATGCTACCTGGACGATATGCATGGTCTAAAAGGTTTTGGGCAAACGCCAGGCTATTTTTACTTTGGGGGAGTCACTATGTATTTTAACCAATTGCAAGCCCTAGGAATGCCTGGAATGATGTACACCCTTATTTAACTTAGCTGTCCTGGAATTCACTAGCTCCAGAGCAAAGCACACCTAGTAACACTACCCGGCCTCCATTGAAAAGCTTCGTCTCCACTCCCTCCTCCTCTCCCTCTACCCAGCCCTCTTCTCCTTGGACTTCATTTATTGTGAGAATGACCCATGGTCCCCTAGAAATGTCAGTACACACAGAAAAATATAAAAATTTGAGTAGTTGCACGATTCACATGCACGTAATAGTTTATCGATATCTTTTTTCCACTTGGTTTTTTTCACTTTCTGACCTTCCATAAAATGCCCTATGGATTTTCCTATTTCATAAACATATGAAGTGCCTGCTGTCAGAAGTGCCAGCCCAGAATCCTCTTGGAGATCAGCTGAGCAGCTAGTGGGTGTGCAGAGGGTGGTCTATCTCGCAGTCGGAAATGTTGGAGTCCCCCATACTCACCCATGGCTGGGTGTCCACATTGCAGGCGGTCTGGTATAACGCCTAGGGCCACTGGAGTCACTGCCCCCGCACCTGCATTTCCCAGGACACTGGTGCTGTGTCACCAGGTAACTACCCTCCTTCCCTGTGTGAGGCATGCTCCATCTCTCTTCTCTGTCTCTGAGAGGCAGCAGGTCAGCGGAGGAGAACTGAGGGGTGAGCTTTCCATCCCCCTCAGCTGCAGAGGATTTTTTCTTTCTCTCAACCAGGGCAGGGTGTTCTGCGAGGATCCGGCACGATCACCACCGCACCACCGCACCACTGCTTCCTGAAGACAGAGGGACTGATTTTGCTGTCAGAGCTGCACAGGCCTGGGAAAAGTACCTGAGGGTTGGCCCCAGCAGGGGGCAGTGATACTCAGATGGGCTAAGGGTCTCGCCGGGAGTGCAGATGTTTTCAGAAGATGCACGTTAACTCGTCCTATGTTTCTTGTTCCCACTTTGTGATCCCTAGGCTCTTTATTCATTGTAGTTTCCAGAACAATAGATTGCCTACTTTTTATTTCTATCCAAAGTAAGCCATATTAATTGCTCAAAATTAAAACTATACAAATGATCAAAACAGAAAAATTTGCTCATAAAACCATCACTTAAATAGAATCATGGTTACAGTGTGTTTCTTCCAGTCTTCCACCCATACTTCATTTTAGAACACTTGAATATGTGTGCGTAATACACTATAAATATCCCTTGCTTAGTAATACGCCTCACTTGTCTTCAGACGCTGTGAAGCACCCTCTGCTGTTGTTTCTAGAGGCTGCCTGGGACGCTGTCGGCGCTCTGTGTTTGACCCGCCCCTGGCGCACTGCAGGGCCGTGGCTCAGTGTTTTGGGCCCCTCTCTCTTATAAACAGGATCGTAATCAGTACCTGCATAGCTAAATCTTTCCATGCACCCCCTGCCTTTGTACTGTTCTTGTTTTGTTGATTATGGAATGCAGCCCCTGGAAAGTGACTAAATGTTTTTACAAATGGTTGAATAATTATAAGTATGAACCCCCATGCCATCACTGCCCATCCAGGAAGAAGGCTCCGGCCAGCAGCCCATGCGCTGCCACTGCACCTTCGTCCTGCTGCCCTGGAGCTACCCCCGTGTGACACCCCTGTTTTCTTCTGAGTTTTCCCACTCTTGAGTGAATTGTTTTGAACTTTTATAGAAATGCCTCTTTTTGAACTTTTCTAGGGGCAGAGTCATATTTTTGTGTCTTGCTTTTTTGGCTGAATGTATGCATTTCAGATTCATCCTCATACTTCAGTCCTCTTCACTCGTACCTGGCAGCACACCACCGTGGGAATACCCTTTGATTGGTCCATCCTGCGCAGCGCAGGCAACCAGATTACACACTTACCAGCAGTGTGCAGCAGCCCTGGGCACAGGGCACACATGCCTCTAAACATGCACCAGACTGCACTCACCCGTGCAGGAGACAGCGTTAGCTGGAGCAGACAATGTGAGAAAGAAAAGCCATTACGGCATGTATACTGTTGGACAGCTATGCATGAAAATTCTCGGGAGTTTTTGAACTCTCAGTGTTTGATATTTTCTGTTTAAATTTGTTGATCTAGACTGTAAGAAAAAGCATTTTTTTATTTCCATATACTAGATTAATAACGAAGATGAGAATTTATTTATGTTTTTGGTCATTCGGATTTTCTTTTTTAAGAGGGAAAGCACCTGAATTATTGTTGAATTATCTCTTTAATGGTTATTGTTGATTTGGAGGAGTTCCTCATGTCTCCTGGAAACAAGCCTTTCACTGGTTATGTATTTCCTATATATTCTCCCAACTGAGATCTCCTCTTTTCAAGTTTTTTACAATATCTTCTCGATAGGCATACTTTTTAAATGTAGTGAAATAGGTACTGCTTCCCTTAGAGTTAATGCTTTTTTAATTTTTAGAATTCTTACTTTCACTCTTTGAAATATTATATATTATTTTCTAAACTTGATAGTTTGTCCTTCCCCATTTGGGTCCTAAACTAATTTGAATTATTTTGCATATGGTGTGATAGATGTATAGTTTTTCCTTATCTTGTTTTTAAATACAGGTTGAGAGTCACTTTTCCAAAATACTTGCAACCGGAAGTGTTTTGGTCTCAGACGCTGGCAGTTTTTGGAGCACTGGCATGTACATAGTGAGCTGTCTTGGCGATGTGACGCAGGTGAAGCACAGAATTCGTTTATTGGTGCTCACTGACCTTGTTGTGCGGACGGCCTGAAGGTGACCTCCTGTGCACTGCAGTGAGATGTGGCCTTCAGCGGGGCCAGGCGCGGGACTTGCACCTGCGGCCTGACGTGCTCAGAGAGGTTTGGATTTGCATCATCTCAGATTTTGTACTTACAGACTATGGCTGCTCTACCTGCATACTGGCCCCCAGGTATCCCAGCAGCACTTGTCAAAGTCTTCTTTGCCCACTGAGCTGCCCTCCGAGTGTGTGGTTGGACAAGCACCCATGCTACACACAGGTGCCCTTTCGGAAGTGGTTCTGATCCGCTGGTCTGCCGGCCTGCTACTGAAGCACAGTTAATTCTGCTCAGCTGCCGGTCTCCATAT